TGTTCTCTGCTGAGTTCCAGACTGCGGCACCAGGCCCTACAAGCTGAACCGCATCGTAGGAGGGCAGAATGCTGAGCACGGGGAGTGGCCCTGGCAGGTCAGCCTGCACTTCATGATGTCCGGACACGTTTGCGGCGCCTCCATCATCTCTGACCGCTGGCTCCTCACAGCCTCCCACTGCTTCGTCACCCACTCCTCAGAGTAAGTGCCAGATCTCCTGCACTTCTTGTTTTCATCAAGTTTTAATGCACAAAAATTGGGAAAAAAAAACCCTCCCCCTTCACAGTTCAACCTCTCGTCTTGTGTTCATCTGTGAGTCCTGTTGGTGGTGCTCTAAACACACTGTTCAACAGGAGCTACTTTTATCATGATTTACATCAGTGGATCAGACACAAATGGTCATAAATGTTTGTTACAGAAAAATGTGCATATCTTTTTTTGACAATTTGTCAGTTTTGTGTTGCAGTTTTAAATGACTTATTTTTTTTAAACTGGTAAAACAAAAAGGTTGTAGGCACCGTTCAAATCATTTGAACTTAGRTAARGRATTATAAASAGTATCTTACCTGTTACAGATAGTACTTCGATTGAGCTCAGTTTGGAGCAGTTTTGTTTAATTCTGAATGTACTGATGAGCTAATGGCTAGTCAAGAGCAGGGCAAAGACCAAAGTCGATGTCTGTCATCTAAAATAGTGTTTCCCAAGCTTTTATTTGGCTGACCCAAATTTTGAAACAGACAAAACATTGTGACCCTATTTAAATTAGGTTTATTCATCGTTCTTGAAAATTAAACAATTTTGCTTAAAAAAAAAACTCATACATTACTATGATTTTAGTGTTGGCTTAGTTTATTAATTTACGAAAATAATGTAAAATAAATTTGAATGCTTTTTCATTTTTGAAACTATGTAGACATTTTGAATGTATTCTCGACAAAATATTTTAGAATAAGATAGATAAACATCAGCCCTGTTTTTTTTCCTTGTAGATTAACATTTAGCCTTGGATAATACACTGAGTAAWAGGTTAGTGTCATTAGTATGGTGTCTCTCACCATCTCTGATAATGTTTTACGTTATTTTCTGTTGATGTGGTTTTTTCATACTTACCTGTTTCATACTGTATAGATCTTTATTCTCTGTAGTAGTGCCTCTAGGTGTTGTAGCTTGGTCTTTTGCCAYGTTTGTCTCTATTATTACCCAAACATCTATTTCTTTTCTTTGGCGATTAAGTTTCAATATAATAGTTTTGCAATGGATCACAGTCAAAAGAGCAACAGGCTCCCTCGTGCGGCTTGATGAACTGCATGCATGATTCTTGATAAGAGAAGAACGGTTTTAAGAAATCAATTTGTCGATAGGAGTGTAAATCACCAGCTTTATCACGATACGATATGACATCGATGTTTAGATGACGATTCGATATTTCTCTATCATAAAGTCTGTCACGATATGATTCAAGAGTTCAATTCACGTCTGCGATCGATATAATACAATATCATATGCTCATCTAACACAATGGGCCTCATGCAAGAACATGTTCGTATTTTTATCCTAAATTTCTCTTACTTTTGTTCGTACAAAGGGTTCGTACGAACATGTC